AAGCAAGGTGAAAAATAAAAAATTGCGCAATGAGAGATTGTTTGAGAGAGATTTTTGGGGGAAAAATTGATTTTGAATAGTGATATGATGGGAAATGTGTGGTTGAAAAATAAAAAAAAATTATTAATGTGATGAAAAATATTATTTTATTAAAGAATGTGTGGTTGAAAATGAGAATTGATTTACTGTAGAAAAATCTAATCCCTCCCAAACAGCGCCTTAATCTAACCGAGATTATAATCTTAATCTTTGTGCTGTGAGGTGATAAGTTAAGTGGAAGGGAATGATATTTAATTTCACTCATCATTTAATATCATATTAGTGTCACATACATTTGTGATTATAACTTCAGTAAAACTAAATAGTATTACTCTAAAAATACGTGATGATTGGACTTAGGTTTGGACAAAAACAAACCCAAACAACTCAAATCGACCAATTCAACCCACACCGACCAATTTGGGTTGGTCTTTTAAGTTCAATTGGGCTGGATTAAGTTGGAAAATCAAATTTGAAGTCAGGTTGAATTGGGTTGAGTTGAGTCCCGTGTTATCAATTAAAAATCAATTCAACTCAACCCAATGAATTAAAAAATTTGATACCTAAAATGGAAATACTTAGATAGACACAACATTTGAGATAAGATAATGATTTAGAATGTACAAAAGTCCCCTTTTTTTATATAGGCTGATTTGTATGAATATTATGTACAAATACAATATAATTTGACGATAAATTGAAAAATAAGGACGTGATAATGAAATAAATAAATTCAAAAAAAAAAAAAATTGTCCATAGTTCCAAACATATTTATAAATTAATTTTCAGAAAGAATTCCATATACGGATTAAAAATAACAGAGATTTTCAAGCGATTTCAAACTTTAAAAATTATTTAAATTCAACAAAAAATAATAGGATCCAATTTGAATTGAGCCCAAGCCCTAACCGACCAACCCAAGCTTGATCGGTTTGGGTTGAGTTGGATTTAAACTAACAATTAGATTGTATTAGTTTGATTTTAGATCAACTCGATCATATTAGATTAGATTTGTGTAAGATAAAAACTCAACCCAACCCAGTCATATCCATGCTCAGCCCTAATTGGACTTGCTATTTAGAACCACCGATGTTATAACAATAGTCTAGATAGTACTACAGTGACATCCAACGAGAAATATAATTAAACGAGTGCTTAATTTCATATTCCATTGACTCTATCACATAACATCATCTAGAACGGTATATAACGCTAGTGATATTAGATGGTATTATTCTTTAGTTAATGTTGAATGTAGGATTCACAATTTATATCGCTTAAATTTTAACCTATGTTTGTCTCACGTTTACATACACCTAAATCACTTTTTATCCATAAGTTTTTTTGGGATCTACAAATACTATCTAATTATTCATCATTCATTTATATCTTTTTTTAATTTAGAATTTTGCACTTTTCGTCGTCAACCTTTGTAAATTGTTAGTCATCTACCTTCAACATTTTGCTAGCATCACATATCTTTAACCGTCACTTAATTGTATGTCATGACTTTCTGCCCATTTTGGCTAGGGCGGGGCGTGAGTTGGATTGGATCATTATTTTATCTGAAAATACGAAGTTTACTAACTAAGTTCGACCTTACGTGCAGAATAATTCTATTAAAAGCAACAAGTTACTTTTTAACAGTTTTTAGATGATTAAGCATTCAATTCAATTATCCTATATTTGAATACTACAGTTTGTAATATGGAAAGTAATAAAGAATGAACATCAAAATGATGACGGAGAAACCCAACTGGGTAAAAACTCTGGGACCAATCCAGTTACCTTCACTATAGACAATATGGATTACAGTCCGTTTCCAGCCTAGAAAATTCCACTAGTTCCCGCTGTTGTAATTCCTGTAATCTCAAAGATTTGATGTTCCTCCAAACTCACGATCTGCTACCGTAGATACTATATAGCCAACCTGCTAGATCTCCCGATCTACCTCCTGTAGTTTCCAAGATCAGCTTCCAGACTCCCCGATCTTCTTCAATTGTCTATTCCAAGTGGATATTCAGGAATCACGTATTCCCGTTCTTTTTCCTGCACTTGTAGTCCAACCTCTCTCAACCTCCAGAAACTTCTGAAGTCCAACTGAGAAAGTACATTCGTTAAAGTGTTAAGGAAGTCAGGTGTTTTGGATTCACGAACCTTGATATTTTCCCAAAACTTGGTTATAGGATCTCATGAATGATATAGATGAATCACCAAATAAGTATACTCTGGAATTCTTAAAATATGATGTAGATGTGTTATACAATGAAGTAACCACATGAAATTCGTCTCAGACATCTGTATTTATAGTTGGGGACGCTTAGATGTTATGGGTCGTGTAAAACTCTTCAAAATCCCGAATTAGGTCGGCTGCATAAATATGTCGCTCGAGCGACAGCAAAGCGAAAGGCGAGCGACAGAATTTCTGTTTCTGACACTCAAGTCAAGTTTTGGCGACAGTCTATCGAAATTCCGGTGTTGCGTTTTCCTTGTTTTCAATCTCTAACCCTAACTTAACTCATCTATACTAAATTGCATCCAAGTCTTTAACTTTTTACAAGTATTCAATAAAGATCATTTTGTTCACAAACATACCAATTACAACATTGGACATAACATTATCCAACCCAAACTCAACCCAACAAATCGATTTAATCTAAGATCGACCCGACCCAATTCAAACCAATCAAGTTTGGGTTTAGTTGGTCACTTTGGGCTTGTGCTTAATTCAAGTTGGATTCGATTATCGTTTTTGTTTAATTCGGATAATTTTTTAAAGTTTAAAATCACTTCTTTTTGAAAATAGTGTAAAAATAAGTTTGAAACTATGAAGTACTTTCTTTTTATAATTTGTTTGATATTTATTCATTCCATTCTTTAATTTGTAGTTTATTGTCGAATTATTCTACATTTGTACAAAGTATTAATGCCAATCGGCCTATATAAAAAAGAGGACGTTTGTACATTATAAGTCCTTCTCGTGTCTCTATTATTGTGTTTATTTGGATTTTTCCATTTTATGATTAATTTTTTTAATTCATTGAGTTGTGTTGGGTACGTTTATGTTTTAATTCATAACAAAAGACCCAACCCGATCTCAAATTTGATTTGTTAACTCAAACTAAACCAATATAATCCAATTGAACTTAAAAATCAACCCAAATTGATCAATTTGGGTTGGGTTGGGTTGGGTTGTTCAGTTTAAATGGTTTGGATTAGTTTTTGTCTCATCCTAATTTTGGTAGTTAAATTGGTATAAAATGACAATTTTGCCCTCCTATTTAAATATAAAAAAAATGAACGAAACTAAGCTCCTATTTAGTCGGGATTAAAATTAAATTTTTAATAGATTTTGATAAAAGTTGATGAAATATGTAATTAAAAAGTTTTGGATCTCATAAAATGTGTGGTTAAAATTAGTTGTTAACTTTGACTTAAATTAAATTTCTACAAATTTTGGGCTAAATAATAAATTAAGAAAAATTGCGTCAACAGTCCCAAATCCCTTTAAAAGATTATAAATAATTTCTCTTCTTTCCCAAGGACCTTCCACCCAACAACTCCCATCCAAACCACCACCACGACTTCGCAACTTATCAACCTGCCACCACCACCGCCGCCAGGCCCGCCACTTCTCTCATGTTTCACTACCCATCACCACCTTCCCTAACATTTTGTCAAACCCCCAATATGTGAAATGAAAGAGGAAAAAAGATGCCCATCTACCCCACTCGTCCCTAACCCTACCTGACCAAGGGTGCTAAACCTTTAGGTTTCCGCGCATGGAATTACGCTCTTAAATTAATGTGGAAATTATATGGATCCCTACTTTTCTCCACCGTCGCCCTCTCTCAATCTCTCACTCTCTGCATTTTCGCACCAGTCGCCGTCCTCTCTCCACCGCTGGCACCACTTAACCGATCTCTATTCTCACCTCTCACCTTCTCCCCATCGCGTAGCCTCACTTATCTCTCTATGCCCTCTCCACAAATGGGCCACCACCGGAGGCTGTAAATCGCGCCAGCAGCCAAATCGCCGAAAGCTCTGCAGAGCGTGGCTGTAGCGGCATAGATCGCGATGATGATGGCACAGATCGTGGCTGTAGTGATCTATGTGTTCCGCTAGCCGTTTTTTCTTCTTCACCGATTTTTTATTTGAACTGAGGCCTTTGAGGGCCTTATTGAGCCACTTAATAACACAGAACTACGCGAAGTCGAGATCACTAATTTATTAATCTGGCGAAGAGACGCTGAGATCTTGCTTTTTGTTGTTGTTGGAGTGGTGGTGATGACGTTGGTTTCCATGTTTTGGTGTTGGTTTTTGTTGGGTGGTGGTGGTTGTGTTATGTGGTGGATCTGGGGGTTTTTGTCGAGTGTTTAGGGGTTTTTGTTGGGTGAAGTGGTGGCAGGTTCTGGTAGTGACGATTTGTTGGTGGCGACGTTGTGGTGT